TTATGGAGTTGCCATTTGTGGCTCCATAATAATGTTGTGTTGAGTTTTGCACTTAAAGTGGGATTTTTAACCCCTTTGTTGTATATGAAGAATACATCATATCCTTCCTAAAATTACACCCCTTTGAGTATAGAATTTTCTGAGAATTTATAAGTGAATCTGTTAATTAGTCTAGGAATGGTTAAGAAACGGGCCCTTAAAAAATTTAGCACCTGGTGTTGGATTTTATTTGGACTCAAATTCTCTTAGGCCTTGGCTACACTTACCCGCTAGTTCGACGGCTGGAAATCGAACTTCTGGGTTCGACTTATCGCGTCTAGTCTGGACGCGATAAGTCGAACCCGGAAGTGCTCGCCGTCGACTGCGGTACTCCAGCTCGGCGAGAGGAGTACCGCGGAGTCGACGGGGGAGCCTGCCTGCCAAGTGTGGACCAAGGTAAGTTCGAACTAAGGTACTTCGACTTCAGCTACGTTATTCACGTAGCTGAAGTTGCGTACCTTAGTTCGAATTAGGGGGGTAGTGTAGACCAAGCCTTAATAACAGAAAAATGCAGATGCTTCAAACCTCCAATATTTAAAACGCCTGACATTTTGTGTGTAGACCACATTGGATGATTTTTTTTAGGATTAATAGTCATTTTTATTATTATTATTCATAACTGCAAGTTTCTTCTTCAAGGGAGGTTAAACACAATCAGGACACCCAGCATATATTAACTCTGCCCTGTAGTGACACCATGAGGAGGAAAAACACCTGTCTTTAAATATCAGTTTAAAGAAATCTGGGGCCACAAACACTAAAATGCCTTAATCATATGATCACTGTATGCTGCCACTACAGGACAAAGTTACATTGCTTTGGATGCCCTACTTGTATTTCCAAATCTTAACATGTTTGGATTTCTTTTGAGTTCAAGAATTTCCTTGATTCATACTGCTGGGTTGAGTGCTAATTACATCCTGTAATGTATTTACCTTTAAATTGCTGATATGTTCTATCAACCTGGACTCCATTTTAACATAATTTCTTTGTCTGGGAATATAAATAAATTATACACTATTTTTGGAATGCTTAAACATCTCTTCTGAGTTTTGCAAATTCAAGAGTCACTGAAATATTTTTCTTTGAGTGCTGTCTCTGTGGGTGCTCCACTCCAGGTGACAGTGCGTCCCGGCGCCGTTGATTGGAGATCTTCGATAGCAGTGCCTGGTCAGGCCACGCATGTGCAGCTTATAAGGCCCAGTATGCTCGCACTTCCTCACCACCCAGGGCACAACTTCGGTCCCCATTGGTATCCCCTGTGCTGCCTACATCCATGGTCACAGAAGACCTACCGAGGAGCCCAAGAAAGAGGTTGTACCTGAGATGGTGTCCCCAAAACACAACTCTTTCTCGTCTCCAGATGAAGCTGTCATGCCACCTCCACCCACTCTGGCTGATGACTTCAGACAGTTTCAGGAGGTGTTCAAAAGAATAGCAATCAGCCAGGACATTCCATTAGAGGAGGTTCAGGAGAAACAACACAAGCTCTTGAAAATTCTGCAACCCACTTCGGCATCAAAAATTGCGCTTCCTATAAATGATGCCATCCTACAACCTGCTGAAAATATATGGCAGACCCCGGCTACCGCTCCACCAACATGCAAGAGGGCAAATCGCAAATATTATGTCCCAGACAAGGGCACGGACTTCTTATTTGCCCACCCTCAACCTAATTCCCGGTGGTGGAAGCAGCAACCCATAGGGCAAAACAGCCTCAACACCGATCCACACCACAAGATAAGGACCACAAGCGCCTAGACCTCCTAGGCCATAAGGTATATACATCGTCCACACTACCATTCAGAATAGCCAACTACAGCACCCTCCTTACCAAGTATGTTTGTGACAACTATGGCAAACTCTTTGACTATACCACAGATATACCAGAGGACAGAAGAGCCCAATTCAATCGGTCCTGGTTGAAGGGCAGCTGGTCACCAGAATGACCCTACAAGCTTCCCTGGACATGGCCAATATGGCAGCCCATACTACGACTACTGCAGTAGTCATGTGCAGAGTCTCATGGCTATCGTCATCCAGCATCCCGAAGGAGCTCCACTGCACTGAGGTTGTTCTCCAAAACCCTGGCAGTAGTCTCAGCTCACCTACACAAACAAGGGATCATATTTTTCCCATACCTGGACAAATGCCTCATCATAGATCATTCATACAAGGAGACAGAAACAATCACAAGACTCGCCATCAACTTCTTCCAGAGACTAGGACTGCAAATAAATTTTCAAAAATCCACTTTGCTACCCGCACATCTAGAGTCCGTCGGGGCCTATCTAGACTCAACTCAGGCCAAAGTCTCGCTACCTCACACCAGATTCCTGACCATCAAACACCTCACAGACACTGTTGATCTGCCCAAGAATCAAGGCACTAACGTGCCTACAATTACTGGGTCACATGGCCGCCTCCACGTTCGTGGTCAAATATGCCATACTACATATGAGGTGCCTCCAGGGCTGGATGAGCTCAGTATACAGACCCACCAAGCACACACTCAAAATGATGGTAACACCACCAACCGCGGTACTGATTGCATTACAATGGTGGACAAAAAGAGAACATCGGCATAGGTGTCCTCTTCCACCACAGACTTCCATCCATCATGATCACTACAGATGCCTCCCTACTGGGCTGGGTAGCACACCTAGACCACCACACAATACAAGGAAGGTGGTCAACGTTGGAATCACACCTACACACAAACCTTCTAGAACTCAGGGCAGTATGGAATACCTGCCTTCACTTCCTGCCGCTCATAAGAAACAAATCAATCTGAATAATGACAGACAATATTGTATGCAGATTTTACATCAACAGATAAGGTGGGGCCCGATCGCGTTTCCTATGCATGGAAACGATGAAACCATGGAACTGGTGCATCCAGCATCACATCAACATCTCCGCTTCATACCTACCGGGATGTCAGAATACTATGGCTGATACACAAAGCAGACTATTTTCACAGGACCTTGAATGGGAACTGAAGTCGACAGTCGCACAACAAATATTCCATCTATGGGGATTCCCGTCTGTCGACCTATTTGCCACAACACCGAACCGCAAATGCCCTCTCTCTTGCTCCAGATTGGGGCTTGGCCTCCACTCTCTGAGGGATGCTTTCCTGATTCGGTGGAGCAAGACACTTATATATGCATTCCCACTGATCCCACTAATACACAGGATCCTACGCATGGTCAGGGACAACAAAGCCAACATTATCTTAATTGCCCCAGCACGTATCCAGGCAGACCTGGTATCCTTATCTGCTGTGTGTCAGTCTGTCCTCCACGAACTCTCCCAATGAGATCAGACCTCCTATCCCAAGATGACAGTCAGATCCTCCATCCACAGCTGCAGAAGCTCCATCTCAAAGCGTGGCTCCCCCACGGTTCCAAGTTAGCCTGTTTGGAACAGGTCAAACACATTACTGAACAGCAGATGGGACTCCATGCGCAATATGTACCTTCAAAAGTGTAAATGTTTCTCCATATGGTGTCTGCATAAAGGGCTCACTCCCTGCACTACACCCCTTCCTATAGTGCTGGACTATCTGGTAGAGCTCGAGCACTCGGGGCAATCGTTCAGGTCTATAAAAGTGCATCTCACAGCAATTAATGCTTTCCACGATAAAATCAAAGGATTCTCAGCATTTACGCATCCAACCACCAAACACTTTGTCACGGAGCTTTAGAGCCTTTACCCTGAAGTTCACCCTCCCACGCCCATGTGGGATCTGAACCTAGTCCTCTGGGGCCTCATGAGGCCTCCCTTTGAACCCCTCACTACCTGCTTTTTACTACACATGTCAGTGAAGGTAGCATTCTTAGCATCACATCGGCTAGAAGGGGGAATGAAATAAATGCAAATTCAAGACACTGAAATATTTATTTCATTTATTTCATTTCGTAAATCCCCTTTGTCTCTACAACTGAATGATCCAAGGGTGCCGCTATATCCAACAATGACTTTCCAAGTGGATATGGATTGTATTTGGTCATGCTACCAAACCCCTGCCACAGTCCGGTCACAGTCTACTCAAGCCATGTCAGCAACCTGTGGCATTCCTGTATAAGGTACCCATTCTGGATATTTGCAAAGCGATCACATGGGTCTCAGGCCATACCTTTGCCAAGCATTATGCCATTACACAGGTCCCCAGGGCGGATGCCATAGTAGGCCTTACTGTCCTCTCCGCTGCTACCATGCACATAACTCCAAAGTCCCAACCATAGTGGATACTGCTCTACATTCACCTGGAGTGGAGCACCCACAGGGACAGCACTCGAAGAAGGAGAAGGTTACTCACCTTGTGCAGTAACTGAGGTTCTTCGAGATATGTGTCCCTGTGGGTGCTCCACAACCCACCCTCCTCCCCTTTACTTTGGAGCTCAAAAAAAGAGAACTCTACAGTATAGAAGGAACTGAGGGGGTCGTGCTGTGCGTGTGGTGAACACTCTCCATCGATTCTGCGAGACAGCAGCTGCGCATGCGCAGCCTGGCTAGGCACTGCTACCGAAGATCTCCAATCAACGGCGCTGGGACGCACCATCACCTGGAGTGGAGCACCCACAGGGACACACATCTCAAAGAACCTCAGTTACTGCACAAGGTGAGTAACCTTCTCTTATGAAAACATATCAGCTAAGTGGTTGTAATTTGAAAACCATAATTTAGAAAAAAAATGTTAACTTAGTAAAATGAAAATACAATCCAGTTTTCCTATTCATTGCTCAGCAGAAGCAATGGGGAGGGAGAGGGAAACCACATTTATTTCTAACCCCCGATAGCCTATTTGTACAAGAAGTAAGAATCCGTATTTGATTTAACTAAATAAGTGATATTAATTCATGTTCAACAGAAATGTACATAATGTAAATTTTGCATTCAGTAATATGATAAAATGAAATGCTCAGTTAGTGAATTTATTTTTATATCTTATACAGGGAAATACTATTTGAAATACTACACTGTACTATTATTTGCTTCAATGCAAAGGATTTTTTGAGAACACTGCTTCATGTTTATGGTGATGATATTAACTGGAAACAAGGTAAGATGTTTTGTGCCTAATTATGCAGTCTTTGCATTGGCAAAACTCCCATTGAAACCAATGTATAAGTGATAATAAATATACTTTATTAAAACATTTATACGGTGACATTAATAGTGTAACATGTAATTTTAAAGACAGAATCACATCAGAACTGACACTTACCCACTCTTTCTGGACCGGGGCTCACAGACTTGTGTGCTGCTCTGCCCAGATTGCGGGCCA